CCTATAATTGGCATCATAAGTAGACCTCAACTATGAGAGACAAAATGAGAAAAAAAATCCAGACAATCACATTGGCTGATTTGGAAAGAATTTATTTGCAAATTATGGTGAAAAATAAGTATTTAGTCAATATCAAAAGTTCATCTCAATACTTTGTTATATATCCTTTGTTGGCAATGACAGAGGTCAAACGTTTCCTGTAAGTCTTCACAAGGTTGGCACACACTGTTGCTGGTATGTTGGCCCATTCCTCCATGCAGATCTCCTCTAGAGCAGTGATGTTTTGGGGCTGTCGCTGGGCAACACGGACTTTCAACTCCCTCCAAAGGTTTTCTATGGGGTTGAGATCTGGAGACTGGCTAGGCCACTCCAGGACCTTGAAATGCTTCTTGTTCAAATATTTTATTGTTTTAACAGGAGAGAATGCATGGGACATCAGAATTATACAGTATTTGTACAATGAAAATTTCCCAAAGAGACAAGATTAGGTGTCAAGAACAATAACAACATCAACAACATTTGTCAACTGAAGTCCCATAGAAAAAAAGAGGGATGGGAGAGGGGGAAGGAAAGGTAAGGGAGGGGGGGGGGGGCGACTCTACGGTTAGGTGAGGAGGAGGGGGGAACTAAAAATTGGTGGGGAGTGGTACCGGTGTAGCCGGAAGCGTAAGTCATGGGTCAAGAAGCGAGTCGTCGAAGTTGGGCGGGAGGAAACGTTCTACCCAGGGGTTCCAAATTGTTTTAAATTTGGGGATGGAATCTAAGATAGTGGCTTCTATTTTTGCATGGATCATAGACTGAGTGTCCTTATTTTTAACTGCAGTAGTGCTTAGCGAGGGGGATTTCCAAGATTTAGCGATAATCTATTTCACTGCCGTGGTAACTTGTAGGATGAGTTTGAACTGTGCTTTTGTGATATCAGGCGGTTGTATGTTGAGCAGTGCAACCAAAGGGTTTGGTAGGAGGGTTATGGTACTAAGTGCAGATAGCATCTTAAAGATTTCCACCCAGAAAGCTTGGACGATTGGGCAGTCCCACCACATATGAAAAAATGTGCCCAGGTCAGCGCAGCCTCTGAAACAAGCTGAGGGGTACTTAGGGGTATATTTAGCAATTCTAGCTGGGACTAGGTACCAGCGAGTCAGGACTTTGTAATTGGTCTCCAAGGCCACTATGTTTTGCGATGACTCCTTGGTATTGGACCAGATGAGGTCCCAATCTGAAGGGTCGATTTGTCGGCCTAGGTCCGCTTCCCATTTATACATGTATGAGGGTAATGAAGCTGTTGACGAGGATGTGAAGAGGGAGTATAAGTATGATATGAGACCCCGTCTATGGGGGTCTTTGTGACATGCTCGCTCGAAAGGGGGTAAAGTGGATATTGGGTTGGTAGATATAGTATGTGGAGCGTAGAAATGCTTCAATTGCAAATACCAAAATAGTTCAGAGGATGGGAGGTCATGGGATTCGCATAATGAAGGAAAGGATCTAAATTTGTTTCTGAGCACAAAGTGGTGGGTCTGGGTAAGATCGGCCGTGGACCAGCGAAAAAAAGCATATGGTGAAATCCAGGCTGTTTGTTGTTCAGGAGCGGCTTAACAAGAGGAATATGACATGTGATGCCATGTCCAGGATCCGTCTGTGTGTGGTGGCTCTTGAATGCATTGACTCCAGCCTCAGTCCACTCCTTGTGAAAGTCCCCAACACTTTTGAATGGCCTTTTCCTGACAATCCTCTCCAGACTGCAGTCATCCCTGCTGCTTGTGCACATTTTTCTTCCACACTTTTCCCTTCCACATAAGTTTCTATTAGTGTGCTTTGATACAGCACTTTGGGAACATCCAACTTCTTTTGCAATTACCTTTTGAGGCTTTCCCTCCTTATGGAGGGTGTCAATGACCAGGTTTTGTTCAACCTTTATCTGGCCACTTTACACTATTTGTGCAAATTGTTTATATTTCCCTCTCTTGTGCACCTTGTTGTATGTGATGCCCCTTGATGGGTTTTCAGCACAGCATCAACACCTGTTAGCACTTACGTTGTTTAACACCAGGGATTTCTTCCCTGTAAGTGCTGGTTAAACTGTACTATATGCACACAGGAAAATGGCACCCGCGCATGCGCCTTTGCGCAATACGGACGCCTTTGCGCAATACGGACGCCCGGGCTCCACTCGCCTGGAGCCGTTCCTCAGTGATTTGTGTTTACCTCTGGCCCATGGTAAAATGGCACCCGCCAAAAATAGTTGCACTGGGAGGGGTATAAAGGGGCATAGGTAAATAAAAAAAACAAGCCTCTTGTACAGAAAAATAATGTTTTAATTGGAGTGTTGCAAACAAGAGTCTCACAGACATGTATACACCTCCTGAATGAGGAAAGACAAAACAGAGGGCGCACAGGCCTAGTGCATTACCATAAAAAATGTTTAATAAAAAATAAAGTATGTGTTGTACTCACAAACGACAATATAGTCAAGGCACATCTCTGAGGAAGAGGCAAGTCCTCGAAACGCGTCATCCTTTTGGATGTCTAAACTCCCTATTGCGGACTGTTACTCAGCGCGGTGTTGACCCAGCTGGTCTTTATGATGTGCCTTGACTATATTGTTGTTTGTAAGTACAACACATTATTTTTTATTAAACATTTTTTATGGTAATGCACTAGGCCTGTGCACCCTCTGTTTTGTCTTTCCTCATTCAGTATATTTGGATTTCCCCGGTCCATTTGAGGGCAGCAAGGTGTGCATGTTCCAGGACATTCTTAATGTGGTTGTAGCCTGCATCGAGTCCATCCCCAAGCGCAGGAGCATTTGTGTTTGCTGGTTCTATGTATACACCTCCGCCAGGGGCGGACTGACAACTCATGGGGTCCCCAGGAAATAGGGGATCATGGGGCCCCTGTGTCCTTGCCCAAACTCAAAAAAGCCTATGAAAAATGTACCAGGGGCACCTCATGGGGCCCCCTACTGACCCCAGGCCCACGGGCAGTGCCCAAGTTTCCAAATGGTCAGTCCGCCCCTGACCTCTGCACAATCATTTTCAAAAATTAAACATCCATTAATGATGCTTTTTTTCACATTGAAAATAGAGAGCTAACACTTTGTCTGAGCATACCATAAAGAAGAACCTAATTAAATTAGGGACTGCTTGGCAATCAGCAATTGTTGAGAATATGAAAATAAACTTTGGTCAGGAGTATGTTTTATACAGTATAGTGTATATAGTGCGGGAGTCTGTAAGGCACAGAGTGCAAGGATGTGCAATGCAAAGCATACAGCAGTCAGGAATACATAAGGTACGTCATGCAGAGCACATGAGTACATAACACACAGGATGCTGGGGTTAGGAGTATGTAATATACAAAATGCAAGGGTTTTATGTGTGTAATGTGCAGAGTGTGAGGGTCATGAGAGTGCAAAATGAAGAGAGTGCAGGGGTCCGGTGTGTGTAATGTAATTCCCTCTCAGCAGAAATGCCCCCTCCTCTTAAAACAAAATCCAGCACTACTCTGCACATTCACCATTCCCTTTCCAAGCATAAATTCACTTTGAAAGCTGAAATTCTTCAAACAAAAATGCAAAAATGTCCCTCTCCTTCCAGTACAATTCTCTCCCCTGCTGATATTCCCCCTACCACGACAAATCATTGTCCCCTTCCAAATTCCCCTGCCTACCACAAAACCTCCCACCAAACCCCCCTCCCAGCACAAATCCTCCAAATACCTTCAGCACTAATCCTCTACAACCCAAATGCCCCCGCATAAATCACCTTCCTCAAATCCGCCATCTTAAGACAAATACTCCCTTCCAAATATCTCCTCCACATCACAATTTTCCTTTCGCTCCCCAGCACAGATCCTCTCCCCCCAAATGCCCCCTTTACAGCACTGGAACATTACTTACTGTGTACAGTACACGGGTGATGAATTGGTCTAAAATTAAAATAAACTTGTCATGAAAGAATTTGGGGCTTTCATTGCTGACCTCCTTCTGAAAATACCGTTTTTATTATGCTAACCTCTGGGGTTCAATATTTGTTTGAATCACTGACCCGGAACAAGTAATAATATAAATAAAAGTCAGCATTGTTTTTCTGGATATTATACTTAAAGTTTTGAATTCAGAGGGTAAAGTTGGCCGAATGTAGTGGATGGAGGATCCCTTCCCCCTTCCCCCTGAGCTGCGACATTGTATTATGACAGCAGCACCTGCCAGTACCAGAATACACTGATCAATAGATGGAGCTGATTGGCGACAGCTGCTGATCATTGACAATTTTTCCAACATGTCCCTTTCAATATCAGTTGATTAAACAATTGACTCCTGTCAAATGGGGCACCTACACACTGACTAAAATTTGGCTGGAATTAGGATGACAGCCAGGCAACTTTTAGAAGGATAGGTCAGCAATGGTAGCTGCCATGTTTTGCTATTGGGAACTCCATGTGGTTGAAGAACAATGATCACTTTATAAGTGTATGACATACAACATAGCCAATGCATTTTGGGGAATTTAGTCTCAACCTTCGTCAGGGCTTTGGTAACGTTGGATCTGCTAGTCATGGGCACTGTAGAATGTGTTCTAATGTGATAACAGTGTTCCAGAATGTCTGCTGTTCCTGCATCAGCTTGAGTTACCAGGACATTGTAATTGTGCACGGTGCTCCTTACCCACTTCCACAATCTTCGCATGCTTGAAGGGACCCTCTGTGAGGACCCTACATGAGTCAAGCTGTCACAATCTTGCTGACCACCAACAGGGTCCATGTTATCTCACACACCCACTACAATGTTTATCTCTTAAGAGATTTCCTTTATTGATGGCTAGTCAAAATACTACATGCCTAGCTTCAGGCCAGCCATAGACAATGGATGATGGATGGATTTAGCGCAATAACTGGACTGCTGAAGCAATTCTTTTTCAAACAATGATGTGTAAATGTATATAATCAGTCCTCCCCAATAATGATTAGGCAAGGGCATGTGCCTATTTCTTTTTTGTGATCTTTTTTTTTTTTGTATGGGTACTTCAATAGCCACACAAACTACAAAGCGATATGAAGGTAGTCACGTGTGTCTAAACTTCTTTAAACAACAGAGGTTACACTGGGTTTCCTAGAAGTGCAATTCTTTTTATTCCTTTAACCACTTGCCTACCCGTTGCAGTACATTTACTGTGACAGGTCGGCTCGAACAGGCACAATTGCGTACCTGTGTGTCAGTGCTTTCTTCAGGGTCCACTCATGCATGCGTGTGCAAACTCGGAAGACTGTTCTGCCATTGGCTGCAGCAGCACAAACCGATCAGCGGGTCCTGGCCAGTGATTGATGGCCAGGACCTGCTGGTCGGCTCAGCAAATGACAGAAGAGAGCTCTGTGTTGGTAAACAACACAGAGCTGTCTCAATACAGCAGCAATTTGCCACTTTTTTTCTCTTTGCAAAGTAGGGAGTAAACGCAGGCACATTACTTAGTAAAATATCAAACAGCAAACACACTAAACATTGTTAGGCACATATTTAACCCCTTGATTACCCCAAGATATTAACCCCTTCTCAGCCAGTGTCATTACTATTATAGTATTATCACCGATCACTGCATTAATGTCAGTGGCAGTTAGTCAGTCCCCCCAGCGTCAGTTGGTGTCAGATTGCCCATTGCACTATCCCAGTACCATTATAAGTCACTGATCGCTGCTATTGCTAGTATAAATAAATAACTAAATAAAAATTCTGGCACCACCTGCCTGGAGTTTGCATGTTCTCCCTGTGACTGCATGGGTTTCCTCCGGGTACTCTGGTTTCCTCTCACACTCCGAAGACATGCTGGTAGAGTAATTGGCTTCTGTCTAAATTGTCTCTATTATGTGTATGTATGAATGTGAGTTATTGACCTTAGATTGTACGCCCCTTGAGGGTTAGGGACTAATGTGCATGTACAATATATATGTAAAGCGCTGCGTAAATTGACGGCGCTATATAAGTACCTGAAATACATCAATAAATTCCAGTATCTATACTATTGTTTGTAGACATTATCATTTTCATGCAAACCAATCGATATACACTTATTGTGATTTTTCTTTTTCCAAAGACATGTGGCAGAAATTTATGAAGAAATGTTTTTTTAATTTTTATTTACTGGATAGGTTTTACAGCTTAAGGTGGTTCTAAATGCTCAAGGTTTTAGAATGCATGATGGTAAAAAACCTTTTGTGTGCAGCATCCCCCTCAGCCCCCCTAACACTCATATAAGCCCCCTCTCAATCCAGCGTTGTGCACTGGAGTCTCGGCTATCTCAGGGCTCCCTCTTCCCATTGGCTGAGACAGAATTTGGAGCCATTGGCTCCCACTGCTGTCAATCACAGCCAGTGAGTCAATGAGAAGAGAGAGGGGACAGGGCCGAGCTGCAGCTCCGTGTGTAAATGGACACAAGGAGCAGCGGGTGCCTCCATAGCAAGCAGCTTGCTCTGGGGGCACTTGACAGGAGGGAGGAGCTAGGAGAGCCTGTGGGGGACCGGAGAAGAGGAGGAGGATCCAAGACTGCTCTGTGCAGAACAGGTAAGTATAGACATGTTTTTTTTTTTTTTTTTCGATAACCCTTTAGAATCACTTTTAAAGTAGAAAGTGTTGGTTTTTTTTTTTTCAAAATTATGTGTCTTTTTTTCATTTATATCACAAAAAATAAAATTGGTTATGAAATCCCACCAAAAGGAAGCTCTATTTGTGTGAAAAAAATTTTTTGTCTGCATACAACATTTTATGACCTTGCAATCACCAGTAGTGCAGTGCCGAAGTGCAAAAAATAGCCTGGTCATGAAGAGGGTAAAATCTTCTGGAGCTTAAGTAGTTAAACTTTCCACATTAAAATGCTTAAGCAGTGTGATACAGGTCATCGCCAAAAAGTTGTGAGAAATAATTGTAATATTTCACACACCAAATATTTAATTTGGATGAGGTTAACCCTAAATCAACATTAAATGCTTGGTTCCCTTATATCAAGTATTATGTGCAAGATAAATATAGTACCTGTATGTAAAACATAAGCCCTTCAGGCAGCTAGTCATAGTATTTGTATTTAATGTTCACTCTGTAAAAATTAAAACCTTTGTTAAGAAATAAATTATTGGGTACCAAATAACTTAGCAGTGAATATGAAGTTGTTTCTCAGAGATCTTCTACAAGAAGAGATATTCAAGGTATAATTATGTGTATCAGTATTTCCTCATATTGGATTGCCATAGCTACCTTTTCAGCAGCCAAAATATCAAATAAAGTGTGATAGAGATTGTGTAGGAGTGCCCTTGATTGATGAAATGTGTGCAGAGTTAGAGAACAGAGATCCTGCTCTTTGGGTGTGTTTACTTTGCGGTTTGAAAAGTCTCATAGTTCAGGCACTAGTGAAGGGTACGTAGGTATAAAAGCAGCAGAGGATTCAGAGAGAATTCACATATTAGTAGATAGTGAAGAAACAAATGAAAAAAAAAAACTCAGGTTCAGATAATAAATTAGGCAGTACACGGCAAAATTGTCTAAAAAATATTTTTGGGGCTCTGTAAAGTCCCCTTAGGGAGACAGGATTTGGTAATGACCAGGGGCGGACTGACCATTCGAGCACTCGGGCACTGCCCGAGGGACTGGGGTCAGTAGGGGGCCCCATGAAATGCCCCTAATACCTTTTATAGGCTTTTTTGGGTGTGCTTCGAGTGTGAGCAAGGACACAAGGGCCCCATGATCCCCTATTTCCCGGGGACCCATGAGTTGTCAGTCCGCCCCTGGTAATGACATCATTATTCACATCAAATTGAGGACAAGGTGCTTTGAAAGGAGTGGTGGAGGGTTTGTTTGACAATCTTCCCTGGCAAGGTGCCTGAACAATGTTGAGGGCATGTGGCTCTATTCCTGGATAAGGATCTGGTTTGGAATTTTATTGGGACCTAAACATTATGCTAAACTGTATGCACTGTCCTTCAAAGAAAAACCAAAATATGTTTTTTTAAATGGGAAAAGACTATGGAAATAGAGGGAATTAACTTAGGAGTCTCTATAAATTCCATATCCTTTTATACCGGAAACTAGGACCAAACATTTTTTTCTGTGGCATAGTAAGCTAATCAATATACATGATTCCAAAATCCTACTAGAATTGTGAAAAATACTTCAGTTATCACTATTCTATCCAGTAGGTGGTGATTGTGCTTAATACTTTGGTGAGCCATACGTGAATCTTTATATTGATAATGATTAAGCCGTGCAAAGCTGTTCAGGGATGTAGAGAGATCAAATCCAACAAAGTCCAAAGAACAGTTTAAAATGTTTTTAGGGATGTGAACATTTGCTATTTGTGGCTAGGTGCGGCCACTAGCCCCCATTCACTAAAATGACAAGCCGCTGGTGGCCGCAGGTATTCACTGTTGTCTGTACAGCCATCGTTTATCTGCGGTGGTCACTGTTGGATGCATTTTGTGTGCATCGAGTAGCAATCACCGAGGTAATCGCTGGTTCTGCAGCTGAAGGTGACCTGTCATTATAGTAAATGGGGCTGGAGGTCACATCTAGACACTTAGAGCCACAGCAAGGTTCAGAAGATTTCTGCCACTACACAATTAACACCAGCCTTATGCAGGCGATACATGGTTCGAATTCTGAACGATTTTTCATCCAAAAATCGAAAACGGCGTTCGCTCGGTAATCCGATGGTGCCATCAATGATTTAGAAAATCGGCCGACCAAGTCATTAAGTTCACCCCATATAACAGGTGAAACTTCTGTTCCTTCCAGGTCACGGCTCATGCACATATTCTTTTCAGAAAAACGATCGTACGATTTGACCATCGTTGAGTCGAAAATCTGTCATTTTTCATGAATTTTCCAATAGGCTGATCACCGAAAAGGGGAGGAACCACGAAAGTCGTCCGATGCCATTGACCCACTAACAGAGCAAAAATTGGATGATTATTCTTAGGTCCGATTTTTGGATGAAAATTGGTCGAATTTCCACCCATATATGGTCGGCCTTAGGCTGCTTTCACGCTGTTTTTCTGTTTTTTCTTCCACTTTTTCATTAACACCATCCCTGGGTGGGATGCTCTTTCTGAGTGGACATCATATGATATCCTGTCCAAAGGCACCACTCATGTGGCCGTGGGGCTGCGCAGTGGCGCAATTTGTCAATGTGTCTGTGTCCATGGCCCACTGCCAGTGTCATGTGATCACAACAGGTCACACGACAATTGTATACAGTGGATAGCATCCTTTCATGCCATTCATTGTATACAATTGTGTTGTTAGCTGTGATTGCTCACAGCAGTCACATGGTACAGACAGGGCCAATCACAGCCCATCTGTACCATGTGATGAGCTTTGATCTGTCACAGCTAATCACAACAAAAGTCTGAATGAATCAGTTTTATTCAGTAAAAATGGTTGCTAATATTAATGAAATACATTGGTATAAGTAATCATAACGTGTAACAAAAAAAAAAATCCTGATGACTTGCCCAGAGTAGTACAATATTACTTTGGTAACATTGTATTGCTCTGGTCATAGTGTGTTGAAAAAATAATTAGCAAAAAAAGAAAAAAAATTAATTAAATAGAAAAGAATAGAAAAAATTAAATATTTTTTTTTACATACTGTCACCAGTTAGTGTCCCTGATCATTGCCACACCAGTTATATAATAACACTGCACTGGACTCAATGGAAAATATGACAAAAAATTGCAACTTCAAAAAACTCGCCATGCTTCTTTCTAAATACCTTGGACTGCCTATTTTCCATAAATGGGTAAGTTGGGGGGTATTTGTACTATCCTGTAGTTTTCGGATTGTCAGATACCATAGTTTTTGGACTCTATAACTTTCCTACAGACTAAATAATGTACACTAATTTGGTTTATTTTCACAAAAGAAAAGTAGCAGAATACATTTTGACCTAAATTTATGAAGAAAGGTTATTTATCTGCGAAATTATATAACAGAAACAAATAAAAATGTGTTTTTTTGTTGTAAAGTTTAATTTTTTTTTTTTTATTCGTTTTTTTTTAGCAAAAAAATAAAAAACTCAGTGGTGATTAAATACCACCAAAAGAAAGCTCTATTTATGTGAAAAAAGATACAGTTTTTCTATTTATACAGTGTTGCCGCACACTTTTCATTCAAAGTGCAACAATGTTGAAAGCTAATATTTGGCCTGGGTAGGAAGGAGGTAAAGGTGCCCGATATTGAAGTGGTTAAAAAAAGCAGGAAAAAAAAGTGTGACTGTATATTCCTATAGATCTCTTAACTCTCATTTGTTGCAGGTCTGGTGAGTTTTTTTAAAATCCTGCTTGCTGCATTTTTGGTGTAGGTTTGGTTCAGTAAAAAAAAATGCATCAAAAATAAATCTCCATGTTTAAATCAATGGAAAACATGTCACACACAGTGTTGCATTTTTGGTGCAGTGTTTGAGTCACATGTCCTGTAAAGAACGCCCTGAAAATGCATTTAAAACACGGCAAACACTTGGTAAAAGCACAGCAAAAACGTACGTGTTGCAGGTCTGCTGAGGTTTTTTTAAAATGCTGCTTGCTGCACTTTTAGTGCAGGTTTGGTGCAGTTAAAAAAATGCACCAAAAACAAACCTCCCTATTAAAATCAATGGAAAATATAGCAAAAACGCATAAGAAAATGCATCAAAAACGCACAATGTTGCATTTTTGGTGTAGTTTTGAGTCACATGTCCTGTAATCAATGCCCTGAAAATGCGTTAAAAACATGGAAAAAACGCACATGCGTTGCAAGTCTGGTAAGGTTTTAAAATCCTGCTTTCTGCATTTTTGGTGCAGGTTTGGTGCAAAAAAAAAAAAATGTACCTAAAACAAACCTCCCTGTTGAAATCAATGGAAAACATGGCAAAAACATTAAAAAATGCATCAAAAACGCACAGCGTTGCGTTTTTGGTGCAGTTTTTGAGTCACATATCCTGTAAACAATGCCCTAAAAATGTGTTAAAAAACTGGCAAAAACTCGGTAAAAACACAGCAAAAACTCATATTCAAAGAAACAGGCAAGGGTGAGGACAGTGCGTGAACAGGTGAGTGTCTGTTTTTTAAAAGTCAGCAGCTACAGTTTTTGACTTTTAAATTTTGCAGAACTCACTGAAAAACCACTTTAACCGACTCCCGCCCGCCATATAAGGAAATGTCGGGCGCAAGGCGGTTCTCTCATTCTGGGAGGATGTCATATGACGTCCTCCCACTCTAACTGTGCGTGCGCGCCCCCCGGGGACACAGCGCGGCAATCAGTGGTGTGCTGTGTCTCTGGGACACAGCGGATCACCGATCAATGGAAAGAGCCAAAGATGTCGGCTCTGTCATGTGATCAGCTGTGTCCAATCACAGCTGATCACATGTAAATAAGGAAATGACGGTTTTCGGCATTTCTTTCCTCACAAGCTGTCACCCTGACCGTTCGTGAGGAGAGGAGAGTCGGTAATCAGAATTATTCAGAGGAGACATGTACACTGATCATCAGGGCACTGATGATCAGTGTGCCCTGATGATCAGGGTAGCCTCATCAATGCCAGCTGACAGTGCCCATCAATGCCACCTGCTGTGCCCATCAGTGTCACATCAATGCCACATATCAGTGCCTACCAGTGCACATCAATGCCACATATCAGTGCCCATCTGAGCTGCCTTTCAATGCCACCTATCAGTGCCACCTATCAATGCCAGTCAGTGCCGCCTATCAGTGCCATATATGAGTGCTGCCGTTCAGTGCCCATCAGTGATGCCTGTCAATCCCATCAGTGCCACCTACCAGTGCCTCCTCATCAGTGCCCATCAGTGCATCCTATCAGTGCCCATCAGTGCAGCTTATCAGTGCCCATCATTGCAGCCTCATTAGCGCACATCATTGAATGAGAAAAATCACTTATTTACAAAATTGTATAACATAAACTAAGAAAAAAAAATGTTTATTCCAAAATTTTCAGTTGTTTTTGGTTTGTTTAGCAAAAAATAAAAAACCCAGAGGTGATTAACTACTTGCCTACAGGGCACTTATACCCCTTTCCTGCCCATGCCAATTTTCAGCTTTCAGCACTGTTGCACTTTGAATGACAATTGTGCGATCATGCAACACTGTACCTATTTTTATCATTTTTTTGAGACAGATAGAGCTTTCTTTTGGTGGTATGTAATCACCTCAGGCCCTGATGATCAGTGTACATGTCCTCTCTGAGGAATGCCGATTACCGGCTCTGCTCTCCTCACGAGCTGTTAGGGTGACAGCTTGTGAGGAGAGAAATGCAGATAACCGGCATTTCCCTATTTATTTTACATGCAATCAGTTGTGATTGGACACGGCTGATCACATGACCGAGCCGGCATCTTCAGCTCTTTCTGTTGATCGGTGATCCGCTGTGTCCCGGGGGTGCGCACGCACAGTTAGAGTGGGAGGACGTCATATGACATCCTCCCAGAAAGAGAGAACCGCATGCGCCCGTCATTTCCTTATATGGCAGGTGGGAGGTGGTTAAATACCACCAAAAGAAAGCTCTATCTGTGTCAAAAAAATGATAAAAAATTTCATATGACTACAGTGTTGCATGACCACGCAATAGTCATTCAAAGTGTGACAGCGCTGAAAGCTGAAAATTGGCCTGGGGAGGAAGGGGGTATAAGTGCCCTGTAGGCAAGTGGCTAAAGTTGAACAGCTAAATACAGAGACAAAAAATATATAAGAGAGCTGTTTACCTGCCAAAGGATTTTCATGTTTTCCATCCAGTCGTGAGCTCAGTCCTATTTGGCAGGGAAGGAGACCTGATCTTTTTTTGCTGCAATTTAACTTACAGGTCTTGTCTCTTCCTCAGCATGTGATTGTACAGCAAAAGGAGACGGATCAGACTCCTGAGTTCATCTCTGTAGCACACCTGACTGGCTCATTGTGCTGCTTTTTTCTTCCTTCTTTCTAAGCTTTGCTGCAGAAGACCATTAAAGTGCTGGTACCAAAGCAAATGTAGGTACTTATACTGCTTGATTTAAAAAGAATACATTTGATAATGCATAATGAATATGGAGTTTAATAAGTGTGTGATGTATTAATAAATACAGAACTGCATTTATTTGTGTCTTTTATATCTGCCTGGATTCCAGCTTTAATTTTCTCCATTAACCACAATGCATTCCATCAAATTGTGAAATTTTGCATAAATCTCCTGAATTTGATACAAATGAGGGGAAATGAAAATTCACAATTTTGCTCTCTTATTTGCTACTAGCAGTATTCAATTTTGGAATAGAATATTAGGAGTAATGTACTAATACAATGAAAATATAATTTATTTCTGGGATTTATGTTAGTAGATACACATTCAAATAATAAAGATATACAACATACATCATTTTATGGGTATTTTCGTACCTAGTTATTCATACGCTATTTATTATAACAACATATATCTTATTTGAGATCTCATTGCCTCTCCTGACCTATTACAACCACTCCCCATTCACAAGGAAGCACGTCTCTGTATTTTTTTTATCTTTTCCGTATAGCTTTCCATTGGTGCTTTCCAGGTTGGCAAAGCAGGTACTTTCTTGGCACATTCTTTTTGCCAATTCAGTATCAGCATGCTGGTTTTACGGAGTTCCCAACAGTGTTTACTTGTTCAAGAATTTCCTTATACACGTGGAGGGAAGAACGTTGCCAGGTGTTACTGGGGCAACCAAATCAAAATAGAGCAATATACATTATACAACTTATAAAAGATACATAAAGATGTAGGTGATAAGCAATGCAATAAAGTCAACTAAAATGAACAAAGAGAAAAATGATGACGTGCAAAGTACAGTGAACTACTAGGTAGACATAAAGATCCCAAAAGGGTTCAATCAACAATCCTCAGGGGAAGTCACGTGATGATACGTGTGGGGAAGAGCCAGGTGACGTCAGAGCCGGAACATCGCTAGTACAGCCGGAGAAGCTATACATTACCAGCTGGAGGTTGCAGTTATACATATCTGTGCGATTTTCTACTATCAAATGTGAGTGCAATTCTAATAAACTATCAGAATTCTAAAAATATGCTGCACTATGGTGGCTTTATATGGTTGTGAGTCTTACCTACAGAGCCTGAAAAAGGGATAGCATTGAGGATACAGTGGCCATAATGAGAGGCGGATTAGAGGATTAAACTTACCCCCAGTAAGAGGGGAGATGCCCAGGTCAATACATGAAGGTGAGGGTCCATCTAAATATCATGGATATTGCGGTGAATGATTTACAGCATCGGGAAAACGTCTTCACTAGTACTTCTGAATATACTTTATTGGACAATTAATTCTACCCTATATTGTCAAGTCACTGTTTATGTTTTATACAAACAGTTTGGTTTTCACCAGAGTGGATCAGGATTTATTTTGAGCAGTGCAACACCTTACACTGGTTTTGTTTTCATTGTTTCATGTGATGAGCACACACTATATGTGATTGCAGCAGCTCAGTATTTTGGTTTGTTTAAGTAGTACACTATTGTATATTTTACAGGCAGCGCACAATTTTCAATATTCTTTTTTTATACTATCAAGGGTCACTTGGCATTCTTGGACAATCACATATAGTGGACATACCGTAGCAGTCATTATGTGAAAGCAGCATATTACACGTCACTGTTAAGCCATCTTCCCTTTGTATAATATAAGCAGGTGTAGGCTGAGCTCCCTACAAAGGTGGCACTGTCTGCAACCACCATGCAGGGAGGGTAGATGACAGGAGGAACTCGTGTTCCTCTCAGATCTCTGTATGTGTGAGCAATTGTCTGATTGGTTGTTGCTGCCACAGATGACCTCCTTGGCCATCTTTAGTGAGGGCAGTACTTATAAAAAGCACTGGCTCACTGCAGTTGGTACACATTTTGCATGTGGATAGGTTAGGGACAGGAACCCACTGGATGAAGAGAGGGTGCATAGCGTAGGGAAAAGTTCCAGAGGAGCAGGGGCAGTATAGGGACTATTCGATAGTGCTGCTGTGTGGAGCCTTTCCATTTTTAGTGCCGTGTTGCATACTGCCTACTAGCCACCTCCTGTGCCAGGTGTGGTCCTTGGGCATTGCTTTCTGCAAGTACTGCATAATCATCTGTGAGTGTTTCTGTCAGTTTGAAACCTCTGCATAAACTCTGTTACTGAGTGGTTGGAACGTTCTTGACAATATACATCCTTAAATCCTGAACCTCTGTGTCATTCCTTCCCACTTGGGTGCCTACCACCTGGCCTCACTCACGCATGCAACCGTCTCTCTCTTCCCAGGGTCATTAATACTCACTCCGAGGGCTCTGACATGCCTTTGGCCTCTATGAGTCCAGCGCATGACTCCAAGCATGTCGTTCCTGAGACAGAACTGCTGCAGCTGCTCCTCTATCTTCAATACACTTCTCCCAGGACCCACAGGTGAATAGACCTCATGGCAAAGAACACTTGGCCTGGCCTAAAAGACTTTTTGCAACCCGCTCTTAGCCTCCACTAGCCATAAAGACACAGTAAGACTACGGTTGGCTCTTCAGGGTGTAGGACTATCTCACTCATCTCCTTCTGTCCTTTCCAGTGCCTCTGTGTAAATTGACTATGTCTGCATGCTGGTGGGGTGTTTAGCTCCCATGCTCTGACTGACTAGAGGTCCTCCCTTGCTGCCATTTATATGGGCAATGAGTACACCCATGACATCACTACAGAAAGGCTTTCTCTAAAAGATCCCAAACACCCAGTTACACTATTATCTGTTACCACACACTTTTCTGGAACAGAGCCACCCAGCAGCAGATTAGCTTACAAAAGTGGCCCAGAACACGCTGAGGGAGTCATTTTCTAGATTTCCCCTCTGATTGTGTGCAGTATAACCGTTTTACCACAATACCAGAAGCAAGTTGGAGGCCTGAATTCTAGCGCCTAGAGTCTGGGCATGGGGTGGGTCTGGTGGACCTGGGTTTTTAGTTCAAATACACTCCCACAGACTTTAGGGCAGTTTGAGAGGTATACTCACCTTTGTAACATGACATACATACATATAAAATACTATGCCATCATTACAAAGCAGCTGTCTGAATACTGAATGAAGGAGTATCTCCACTCAGTGCTATCAGCCCAGCATACAGTATATTATTTGTACTAGCGCAAGGGATAAATGTCTCCCAACGTTGTCCTCCTCCTTAACTAGCTTGTGTTTATAGTTTTTTTTTCAGATGAATGGCACCCGTTCAGATCAGCATGGATCTGTGAACTAATCTCCTACTGAATTTGGAGCAGAATGTCACTTTTGTGGTTATACCTCTAGCTTAAAACTGGATCCATGTTAAGTCTTTAAGTAGGCCTTTGATCTATCCTTTTTTGATCCAAAAAACAAATGATGCAACCCTTTTTCATATTTTTTTTCTCAGAACCAGACTGACTGATTTAAATATATGTGCATCAGGTCCACTACTTAATCGGAGGAGAATGGAATGGATGTCACTTTTGTGACATCCATGTCAATTCAGGTTTTTCACCCAGCCTGAAACCAGACCCATGTTAGCAGGGCTCCTTCTAGAACCATGGGGTCCCATACAGCCAATCTGACAGCCCCCCCCACATTCCATGCTTCAGTTTTGAATGAGCACAGTGAGTGGCAAGTAACAGTCACTCATAGTGTTCGTTCAGGAAAGAAAGGGGCTGGTAAATGTGACATATTTACCAGGCCCCTCCCCCACTCTCCATCCTGAAGGATCCTATTGGGTTGGCACCTGCTGGGGAAGGAGAGGGGGGAAGCCATCAGCACAAATGATTAAATGCCTTTAGCA